ATGACGGGCGACGGGGTGAACGACGCCGTGGCGCTGCGGGCCGCGGACATCGGCGTGGCCATGGGGCAGGCGGGCACCGACGTCTGCAAGGAGGCCGCGGACATGATCCTCGTGGACGATGACTTCCAGACAATAATGTAGGTGACTTTGATGGACCTGCCTTGTGCTGTGTTGTTTAAGTGAAACGTTGCCTGGGGTAAAAACAGAAGCTCCCTGAACTTGTCAGGGTAGCAGCTGTGAACTTCTCTAAGCTGGGAGAATTGTCTCTAAGGTCATTACTAGTGTTGTTCCCTTAGAGAGCTGGGAGCGTTACAGCACGAGGGGCAACGAAACATTTCTGTCTGTTTGTGTCTAGTGATAGTATAAGTAGGTATTTTCATATTTGCACCTTTTGCTACTTTGGTCTTGGACTTTTTTTGTTTTTTTCTCTGAAGTAGCATCCTTTATCTTTCCAAATTACAGAAAACTAAAATATGTAGCATGGAAGTTTAAGCCTTTGACTTATGGCTGGACTTGATGGTCGTAGAGGTCTTCTCCAACCTCAGTGGTTCTGGGAATCTATAGATCAGATGTATGTAACAAAGGAGGTTGTGCATGTGCAAGGTTTTGCATGTGCTACAAAACTGACCTGTATTTCTGCTTCTCCAGGTAGAATTACAGCAGTAGTATATTTGGAAACGTAACTGATGTGAAGTTATGAGCCTTAGCTCTCATTAGGACTCACCTTCAGTTAACTTCCTACTTTAGAAGCATAAAGCTTATGTAAAAATGAGAGAGACCACTCTTCTCAAGGCCTAAAAATTTTATACAAACTGCTGTGTTTTTCAACTCTTTAAATACGTTGTTTCAGAAAGGGAAAGGAATATAAATAATTAAGTATCACAGTTGAAAATAAGTTACCAACTTCAGGTAACCAGCTATTTGTGACTTGTCTGTCTGGTTTTTGTTTGGTTTAATTTACTGGGCCTGACCTCTGAAGGCAGAGGTGGTGGCCGAGCTGTCCTGCTGCATGGCAAGGTCGCCTGTGTTCCAGGACTGTCACAGGGCACCTCAGTTTGTCTGGGAGTGTGACACGGGGCTCTGGGGAGGAGGGAAAGGCAGCAGTGGAAAGAAACACCCCTAGGTAGCAGCAGGCCAGCAGCTCATCTGGGGGTTAGAAGGTTTCCATGCTAATTCAGCCACGGGCGACGTGCTGTTGTGCAAAAGCAGAAGGGAATCATTTTAAGGTATTTAGAAGGGTTCATGGGAGAGACACCTGTGGTAAGTACTTAACTTTACTTGGGCTTGAGGAGGCTTTTGCTGCAATGCTTCAGCCAGTTTTGCTCACTGCATCAAGAGACCTCTCAGTTGGAGAGTAAAGAGTGCTGACCACTAAGGGCAAAAAAAGGTATGAGCTGCCAGACTTCTTGCATCCTCCCACCAGCCCCTTTCACCTTTTTGTCCTAAAAGTCACAGAAGAAATGCAGATCAATTATTGTTCTTGGCTACTGGGGGAATGGATGAAAGAAATCAGTTTTACTTGCAGCAGACCAGACTTGATTTTAGGCATTTAGAAAACATTTTCTCACCTCTGTATTCTCACATAGATGTCTATAATTGCAGTAGTGTGATAGGCAAGTTGAAACATGCTAGAGGTTGAGAGGATGGTCTGTACATATTTAATTTTGGTGCTGTAAGAATACATGGTTTTCTAAAGTAATGCTAGATTTCTGTGGTTTGGTAAAAGCTTGTGTGGTTTGGTTTGGTGTGGGGTTTGGGTTTTTTTGTTATTTTTTTTTTGTTTGTTTTGTTTTGTTGGTTTTTTTTTTGTGTGTGTGTGTTTTTTTTTTTTTTTTTATTATCTTACTTGAACTGAGAGGTCTCACCAAGGATGATTGGTCAATCTTGAACAAGGAAATTTTATTCATGGCATTTCATTTTGAAAGTTAAGCAGCTGCAAAAGCAGCTGTTGTGATTAATCTCATAGTGGAGTTGAAAAACAGCTGCCAATGTTATAAGAACCTGAACTCCATTAATTTCCTGACATTTGTATTGCTGCTTAAAGCAGTAGCTTTTCCTGGTTTCTTTTTAAGCTTTTCTGGCAGTAGTTTTATTTATCTAGTGATGTAATCTTTGTTTTTAATTGCAGGTCTGCAATTGAAGAGGGTAAAGGAATTTATAATAACATAAAAAATTTTGTTAGATTTCAACTGAGCACGTAAGTTTGAAAAGCTGACAGTATCAGAAGCTTCTAATGACATTATGAATGAATCAAAGCATCGTGAGGATGCTGCATAAATTGATGTGAACACTGGAAATTTCACACAGGCTGCTGATAGGCTGTGCCTTTTGAACTCTGTGTGTTGTATTTGGCTTGTTTCATTTTTAAAGCACCAGAAAAACAGTGCCATAAACAGACGTGTGACTTTGTCACAGTTCTTCCTGTTGAGCTGTGAACAGTCAGCAGCTGAGGGGAGGGGGAGGAGCAGCATAGCTGCCTCTTGGGCCTTGTTGGGAGAAGTCAGTAGCTGTTCCCTCCTGAACCAGGTCATGGCTACCAGCTGGAGGGAGCCAGGGGACAGGAGCCTAGTTGCTCTGTAACCTGTAGACCAGTTTGTGGAGTGACACAGCTCTGAGGAGCTGGGTTCCTCTGCTTGCATAGAAGGATCTCTATGCTGGCAATACCACGTTGAGGTAAGTCACAAAGGCAAGAGTTCATTAAGCCTTAGTTTCAAAAATTTTGTGAGTTTATCTTACTGAATCTGGATTCAGGAACATGATTTTCCTCTTTGCCACGTTGTTCCTGTGCTTTACGAAGCCTTCATGGCACCATAGAGTGGTTGAATAAAATTGCAGAAATAAGAAAAAGAACACAAACCCCACCAAAAATGAGAAAAAAAAAATTCCAAAACATCCAAAACAAAACCTAACCAAATAAACCACCAAAAAACCCCAACACAAAGAAACCCAGAAACCACCCTCTTAAAAATTCCATAAAAACTGTAAGAAGCCTCGTATGCTTTCTGTCTTGACTCATGTCCTGCACTGGTAGAAGACTAGAAATCTGCTTCTGAAAAATACCAGCCGGGTGTTTCAGGACAGTGTGCTGCTGCTAGCCCTGGGCACGGGAGCTGCAGGCTTTGGGTGGAGGAGTCACCCTTGTGTTTCTGTCCCTCTCTGCAGGGAGAGCACAGTCAGGTTCAGTAGAGTGCTAAATTTGGAATTATTACAAGCCTTGCTCTCTCTTTGCTTGTTACAAACCCACTTAATCTTGCTCTGAAAGCAATTAGTGCTTACTTGTGTGGAGAGGTTTCTAATACCAGGCTTGCAATCAGCTGATCTGTTCTCAGCCCTTTGCCTGGCCCTCTCTCTTGCTGATGCTGATGGGGGGTGTGGGTGTTTGTGGGGAGCCTGGGGAATACCTGGCCTTGGCTGAGGAGCCAGACTAGTGACAGGCACACAGAGTGGCCGTGCTTTTAGCAACAGTGTGAAAGCAGTTTGCTTTTCAGGACTGTGTTTAGTTCTGCTTCTGGCACAATTAAAGTGTAGGACCCAGTCCCCCCTGACAAATCAGTTAAGTGAAGGTGAGCGATAACTCTAAAATGCTACCCTAAAGTTTGAGCAGTTCTTAAGATACAAATTTGCTGTCTTTTTATTGCCAAAACAATGCTGGTTTAAATATGGACTGTGTCAGGATGAGTATTCCAAATGAATTTATGCCTTACCTTTAAAATTAGGCTTACATCAGTCATAATTCACACTGTCAAAATCTGTATCTACTCTTTTAAGAAGTGTTGATTACAAAGCAGTTATCACTGGATCTTTGGAAATGTTTTATGCTGACAATTATAAAAATGGATTCTTTCAACAGGAGTATAGCAGCTCTGACTTTAATCTCACTGGCTACATTAATGAACTTTCCTAATCCTCTCAATGCCATGCAGATCTTATGGATCAATATTATTATGGACGGACCTCCAGCTCAAAGGTAGGTAGTTACTTTATGCTCTGTACTCCTTTTATTTCAGCAAGGAGAGGGGTTGTTGATAAGGGAAACTGTGAAGCGTTAAAACTTCATATAACACTTTATATAACTATATATAAACTAGAGCAGCTTCCTTTTAAAATTACCATGTGGTAATTGTAATACTGTGTGATATCAAGTATTTGTGGACTCTGAAGCTGCAGTGTTGGAGAGCCTGTCACTAATGCACACAGCTCCTTTTGCCTGAGAGTGGGGATATCGTGTGTGCATCTGAGTGAGATGATTCTTAGCCTGTAGAGAGAAGTTTAAAATCTTTCTTTCAACTCAGAAACTAGTCCTACAGTTAGAAGCAGTGAATTATTTTTATGGTGATAAAAATCTAAGATGTTATTTTAATTGTAAGTCTTGGGGTGGAGCCTGTGGATAAAGATGTTATTCGGAAGCCTCCAAGGAATTTGAAGGACAGCATTCTGACCAAAAACCTGATTGTTAAAATACTGGTTTCAGCAGTGATCATCGTCTGTGGAACACTGTTTGTCTTCTGGAGAGAGGTAAGACACAACTACAAAACTTGAAGCAGTAATGAGCTAATTTAAAAGAAGTCCTTTTTATACCAGCAGTTGAGGTGCAGAATTTGTATGAACTTGGTTGCAAGTTTTGTCCATGCTTATTTAATAATCTATTCAGCTAGCAAACTACAGAGGAAGATTTTTCAAAGTAGTTGTTGAAATGAGGAATACAGCTTTATTCCACAGCTCTATTTTAACACAGACTTCTCCAGATCCCAAGTCTACTTGGGAAACCTTGATCCATAGAAGGTAATTGCACAAGTCTTCCAGCCAGACTGTTAGGAAGAGGCCATTTCACTTCCTTTTCCCAGCACAGAAATATGTTGTTTGATCCTTTGGTGGCACATGATAGAATTCTTGGTATTCCATGTGCTTGCATAAATGTTTGTCCAGAGGCAGCTTGGAATTGCAAATGGTCACGGGTTACAGGTGCATGAGTTTTGCTGTAGGGTTTATTAAATGAGCTTGGGGCAAACAAGTCGCTTCTCCTTTCACTTACTCACTAGCAGAACTTGAATTAGTGCAACAACCTTGTTCAGTTGTGGAGGGTTGGAGGCACACTAAAGCCATTCCCTTTCCTTTTCTTGGCAGCTAAGAGACAATGTCATAACGCCTCGAGACACAACCATGACTTTCACCTGTTTTGTGTTTTTTGATATGTTCAATGCTCTGAGTTCCAGGTCTCAGGTACGTGCTTTGTCTCGTCCCTTTACCCAATGAGCAGAATTTTCTCAGAGGGAGGATCTTGCTCTGCTTGTTTAAAGTTTTGTCCTGTGTATTTACTTCACATCTGCTGTCAACCTTCAGTGTTTCATGTATTTACTAGGTGGAATTTCTTAAATTACAGGTAAGTGTTAGTTTCCTTTAATTTCTGTGATTCAGAGCTGGTGGTAGTAATGCTTCTGTCCTGACAAGAGCAAGAAAATTCTTATTAAAAGCTGAAATGTGATGGTCCTTTGTGTTGCTGTGTACACTTGGTTGGGTTTGGTGGGTTTTTTATAAAAGTTCTGTCAGTTCAGCATCCTTACAGAACCTGAAACTCCTTGAAGACCTGTATTTTGTAACCCTGAACCCATAGTCCAAGGAAAGTGTCTTAAACTGTTCTTTCTGTCTGTATTTTGGCTTCAAGGAAACAAGTCTGAAATTTTGTGCTGGTTGGAGGAAAGTACATTGCTAGTATCCATTTCTTCCTTAAACTTGCAGTCTGTTTTCTGATGAGAGCTGTCAGGGTCAACAAAACCACATCCTTCTAGTGTAGAGGGCACCTTCTAATGCACTGTGCTTGCAGAAAAGTGAGCTCAGTACACAACTCGTTGACTCTGAAGACAAGATTTGTACTCTGTTTACTAGAGAGAAAAAGCAGTTGGCTTGTTGAAGGACTTGTTCTGGGTGATCTGAAAGGTCAACAGTAGTTTTTACATTTTTCTAAGAGCTTGGATGAAAAGAAACTGTAGTTACAAATCATTTTCTTGTCTAGATGACTTACAGTGTAATATGGTGTTTATTTTACAGGCAAAGTCTGTGTTTGAGATTGGACTCTGCAGCAACAAGATGTTCTGCTATGCTGTCCTGGGATCCATCATGGGGCAGTTACTGGTCATTTACTTCCCTCCACTTCAGAAGGTTTTCCAGACAGAGAGTCTGAGTGTCCTGGGTAAGAGCAGCTGCCCTCCCAGAGTGGTACCCTGGGGGTGTCTGAGTGTCCTGGGTAAGAGCAGCTGCGCTCCCAGGGTGGTGCCCTGGGGGTGTCTGAGTGTCCTGGGTAGGAGCAGCTGCCCTCCCAGGGTGGTACCCTAGGGGTTACTCTGTAAACCCCTCAGCTGATAGCTTGGTAAGAGCAGTTTCTGGCTCTTCTAGGCGTGCCACAGGAGCACTGAGGCTGCTGAGCTTTCTTCTGGGGTGGTGGTGGTGTGGTTTGTAATGTGCTGTGGCATGGGGTCTTTTGTGTGCTGGGAGAAACAGCAGTCCTGTCAGGTCTGTCCCTGGGGAGCCCTGGTTGGTGCGTGGCCGTGCGGTGCACTGGTACGTGTCCCAGGTGCTCAGGGGTGTTGGCCTTTGAATGTAAACCTTGGTGCAGGCAAAAATGAAGCAGAGAGTTTACTGAAGTTTTTTTGAGCATTAATAATCTTGCTATTTAGCAAGACTTTTTCTAAATCTAAACACATTATTCAGAAACCTTGATCCTTTAGTAAATAATAAACTGCATTGCCAGACAGTAAATAGACATGAGGATTTTGAGAAGCTATAGATAGATAAAGCTGTAGACCTCATTAAGACTTGTGTTTATTGCTTCTGCAGTTTTGTGGAGTTAAATTGTCAGGAAATACATGGTTTTACATAATTCTTTTTATCATAGTGTAATTGCTGACGATATTAATATTTTTATCAGTACAAAGTTAATTATGTTGGTTAATTACAGTGTTAATAAAAATGGGGTTATGAAATACTTGAAGTTGGAAATATCACAGCTGTACTTAGGATATTTGCATATAGTGCATAAACTTGGCATGCTAATCTTCTGGTCCTGCAAAAACTGATTCTTGCTTCATTTCTTCTGAACTTAACCGATGACTGGGAGACAATTTGAGCCTTGAAAGTCTTGCTTTTTTGTAAGTCCATCCTCAGCCTTAAATAGCAAATTTTAAAAGACTTGAATTATCTCTTCTCAGATTTACTGTTTCTCCTGGGACTCACTTCATCTGTGTGCATAGTGACTGAGATCATAAAGAAGTTTGAAAGGAGCAAGGAAAAGATCCAGAAACGTGGAAGTTCTTCTTCGTCAACTTCGTCTTTTCTTGATGTATGATGCATATTGCATTCTTTTGTTTGCAAACTTAGGGATTGCTGTCTAAAGATGTAGGAGAAAGCAAAACTATATTTGGAGGATAAAGAAGTCCTGAGGGCTTTTGACAAGTCCTTTGTCTCACCGGCTAGTGATGAACATTCACGTTTCAAGACTGTTTAGAATTTAACTTCCAGCTGTGGGAGTAACAAATGAAATTATGCAACTTTGGTAATGTTTTTCCTCAAACATAAATTTACTTTTGAGATTGAATGGGATTTTGTGGGTGGGTGGGAGTTAAAGAAAGATCTAAGCCCAAGTCCCATTTTCTGCACTTAAAAGATATTGTGTAAAATCCTTCTCTTAGATATAAATATTTTAGTTTGTTTTTATTTAAAACATTGTACTATTTTACTTTTATGGTGGTGGGACTTTGCTACTAATGCAAGGATTAAATATTTCAGAGGCATTCCACTGGGTTGAGTCCGTCACAAGAGTGCCATATTCTAGCTACTGTATTTATTTACTTTACCCTGCAATGTGTAAGCGGCTCAAGTACCTTGTGCTACAGGTTTTTTGTATCCCAGGTTTGGTTTTTTTGCACAGGATGTGACCGCTGTCAGATCACTGTTTTCCTTTTTTGTGTGATTGAAAAGCCTATACTGCAGTTTGAAGTAAATGTTTGCTTTTCTTAAAAGCGTGTCATCTCTTGGTTTTAAAAGAGCATTTGCATCAGCTGAGTGTGCTGGTTTTGATAGAATTCTAGAGAAAAGCTTTGTTTCATGTCTTGTTCCGTGTTCACTTTAGCTTATGCCTGTTAGGTCGCCCGAGTGATTCTCGGGCAGTACTGCTACTGGAATGATTGGTAGTGTGCTGAGTTAGAACGTGCTAATCCTCACTCTGGTGGCCAAGCCCACGGGTCTGGAGGAAGAGCTGCCCCTGTCCCACGCACGCCTCGCCTGGCGGGTGCCTGCCCCTCTGTGGGACTGATGGCTCATGCTCCGTGCCCGCTCTGGGCCCAGGGAGGGCAGAAGGGCAGCCCAGTGGCCGTGGGTCATCCCAGCTCAGCATGCCCTCGCCTGGGCTTCAGACAGACCCTGGGGAGCCCCTTCCCAGCACCAGGCTCGCTCTCTGGGTCAGGTGCCTCGGTCTGGAGGGGACAGAACACTTCAGTCTCTCAGGAGCAGTTCTGCTTTCTCGCGGGGGAAATGTATTGAACACGATTCACATTAAATCTGCTGGACCAAGTGTTGCTGTGCTTTGCAATGGAGATGGAGCAATAACAAGTGATTCCTTAATCTCACTGCTTATGAAAAATGGCTGGACTGAATTACATTGTCATTTTTTTTTTTGGCTTTGCTCTTGATCCTTGCCACCTAACAGCAAGTCTGAGAGGTTGTTTTTTTTTTTTTTTTTACTGAGCAACTGAATCAACAGTGGGATCTTCTCACAAAAATGAAGAGGCATTTCCTGTGGGGTGAAGAGACACCAAGGAATTCAGTTGCTCTTATTAAAGCGTGGAATAGAGAACCATGTGGTTTTAGTAAGTTGAAGGCCCTTTGCTTTTTTTTAAAAAGCTTAAAGTCCTGTAATGACTCAAAAAGGAAAACTAGGACACTTGATTTAAATGCTGAGTAGTAACCCTCGACTCAGGAATGATTTTCTCCTCCAGCAGACAGGACTGGGTGCCTGCAGCGAGGCGTATCTCATTTCACCAGCAGCAACCAACAGCTGAGTTCTGCATGGAGAACATCTTTCCAGTAGTGAGTCCTAATCATCAAGTCAGTGCTCCTGAAGGTAGTCTGAAAATGTCATGTGATCATAGCAGCTTTTTTTATCCAAAAGTGGAATATTAGAGTTTATCCCAGTCTCCTGAATAACGGAAGATGCTGCTGCTTGGCAAGTCTCAAGAATTTATAGTCTCCAGTAGCTTTCCAGTATGGGATCCAGAGTAAATTAAGATCTCTCTTCTCACAGCATGAAAATACAAACATGCCTGTATTTTTGAATTTAGGACTTATTTTAAATGTGACTATTTCTGATTATTTTACTAAGCTTGTAGTTCCTTATGTTTTTTTCATAAACTGCGTGGGATCATAATGGGTCAGAGGATAATTTGCATGATGATGGATTTAAGTTTTAGTTACATCAAAACTTTAACCCTTTTCAACTTTACTTGAAGTCATGCTGCAAATAGAATTGTGTTTAGAAATGAGTGGTGGGGTTCCACAGTCACTGTGTGTAGCTGCCACTGCTGGTAGTTAGTTCAGCAGCAGTTTCCCTCCTGGAAAATGTTACACATTACTGTCACAGACTGCATCTCAAAAACCAGTTGTCTCCTGAATGTAAGAGAAGCTACAAATCTTTCTTACAGAATCTGCTATGGCAGTGTCAGGACTCAGCTGTATGGTATCAGAGATTCCTCCTGGGAGTCACCAGGTCCAGTGAGTCCCTCCCCTGTGGGCAGCTGTCAGGTAGGGCATGTCCCTGGGAAGGAAACCAGGCTGCCAGGGATGCAGGAATCGAGTTTGGGTTCTGCTGAGCAATGAGCAAAACTTCAGTGATTAGAGGTGGAGCTGATGATTTTCATGGATGTATGAGAAGGTTCATGGAGCCGTGAGGAGGAAACCAGAAATGGAGCAGTGACGTTTCACAAGGGGAGGACACTGGAAAACCAACAGTTTTGGTAGAAATGCCTTTATGTAAAGTGACTAATTTTGCTGGAAAGTGAGCTAATACAAAGTACAGAGAAATTTAGACATTTTGGGAAATTAGAAGTGTTCAGGGCGATGGATAGCCAACTGTAAATGTTGATGAAAAGAATGCCTCTAAAACAGGCTAGCCCTGAAATGCCAAACTATTCTCTCATTTTAGATCAATACCTTTAAAGAAAAACAAACCACTGCAAATTGTACACAGCACCTCTTTTATGAAAAGTGTTAGTTACAAAAAAAACTTTAAAAATTCTCTGAAGTAAGAGTTCTTGAGAAAAGCTGAGCAAAGTCCAGTACAGTCATGTATTTTAGTAATTCCTTTGCTGTGCGTGGCATTAAGAGTTATTGCAGGAGTGATGCTTTCAGTCCTCCACTGCCAGGGATGCAAACCTATTTCCTGTGCAGAAGGGCTGAGCTTCAGGCACAGCACACCTGACAGGCTTTTTTTTCTTAGATGCTTTCTTCTTTTTGCAGGACTCTGATTTGGTCTTGGTCATCTTCTGAAAGAAGTCTGCAGGTACAGTTGACTCCACTGTATTTAACAAAACCTGATAGAGCAGAGTCATTTTTGGAGAGAATCTAAACAGATTTTCCAGCGAAGGTGCTGATTTGAGCTCCTGATACAGTCTGTGCACGAGGGTCCCACTGTAGAGGCTGCTCAAAGGAAGGAGAGAACCCTCAATTTAGCATCACACCTTGGCAGGAGAGGTACAGAGATACGCTGCCTAATGAAAAAACCCATGTCAGCTACGTAGGGTGGGTTCCTGAGGGGCACCTCTGTTCTACTCAGCTTTTCAGCCTGTATCAATGTCTTTTAAATGCACGAAAACCGGCCAAAGGAGTTAGACTGAAAAACGTCAAGGGAAGGTGTTCCACCAGGGGCTCGTGTGGAGAGTGGAGCTCTGGAACGTGCTCACCTGCTCAGGTCTGGCTCGGGGAGAGGGGCACAGAGGAGCTGGTTGAGGTACAGCCCCATCTGCAGGCAGCACTGCCACTGGCAGAACCCGTGCGCGGCATCCACGTCGAACTCTGCGTCTCGCCACTTCTGCTCCTTCCACTTCAGAAACTCACTGTGTGCAACCCTCTCATCTTCAGCACACACAACTGTGGGATCGAGGTGAGAAAGAAAACATGTCAGGCAAGCTGCTCTTCTGCAGACAGTACCAAAGGTACCCACGGCATATAGTCTTCTCCAGTTCCCTTTCAGGAAGGATTAGTAATATTTTCATATGTCTCAAACTGAACCTTTAAGACATAAAATTGAATAAAAATTCAAATTTTATGAAACTCATGAAACTGTGAAATTGCAAAATCAACAATTCTACTTGTTAAGTAGTCTGCAGTGCCGTGAGCAGATCTGTTCCAAACAAGATTTCCATCACTCCCACCCACTTGGGTAGCACGTGGTGACTGTGTCAGGACCCAGAGGAGCTGCAGAACCCTGGCATGTGGGACCTGGGCCATCAGATGGGCTCCCACAGGGAACGCTGCCTGGGACAGAATCTGTGACAGCTCAGTACTCCCAGGGTCATGGGAGGTGCCTGTGCAACACAGCACCTCTAAGTACAGATGATTTTAGAAAAAAATCTCTGAATATGTCAATAATAGTTACTCTCTTTAGAGTAGTAACTATTTATAGAGTAGTAATAGAGAGTAGGTTAAGCTTATTTTTTTTTTGGTAACTTTTGTATCTAAATTAATCTTTTAGTCCTGAAAAAGGCATTTATAACTGCAAATCAATGTTTTACAGGATGGCACAGAACTGGTTTACCTACAGAGAATGTTAAATTGATGGCTAGCACTTTTTCTCTGCTCTGGATCGATGCAGACTGTGACACCTCAGGATACCTCTAAATCAGTGCTAATTCATCTGAATTTGGACAACTCATCATAAGTGAGGAAAACTCAGTTATGGAGTAGATTTTCACAGCGGCTGGACAGGTAAAACCCTGTTCTTTGGAGACATACCTGGATCATTCGTTATCCTGTGCAGCTCTCCAGACACCACAGTGAGAAGTAAAGCCTTTAACTGATGCAGCTGCACTGGTGGTTCTGCACAGCGTACCCAGTAGCACGTCACGGCCACGGGGAGCTGTAAGTGACTGGGGACAGACTCCAGGAAATGCATTTTCACTCCCAGAGTCTCCAGCAAAAGCATCTGACGACACGACATGGGCACCTGAAAATACATTGAAAAAACAGAGTGGGAAAAAAAGATAACAGACTTGTGTTTGCTCTGAGCAGTTTTCAAAAGGCAAGTAAGTTTGTGTTTACACTATCTCGTACTGCGTGGTTTCAATTAGAGAAAAAAAATTAAGTCTCATCCTGAACGGTAGATACTTTTCAAGCTTTAAAAACTACACAGTTAAAAGGTAAAAAATGACTTTTATCCTTTTACAACTGCCTGAGGTTAGATTTTAAAAGGTTTGAAAGGAGTCTTCTTCAAAACAGGTGACTTAACTTGAACTCCTACATAAAAGTTGACTTGCTTGGAAGAGCTCGTAATGGTGATGCTGTGTGGAGCAGCTGCTGCGGGGGCTCCGCTCGGGCATCCCGTGTGGTGACCGCTGGGCAGCCCCGTCCCAGCTGCCTTTGGTCACCGTGAAACGCTGTTAACTGTCACCTGCTGCGACCACCCTTTACCTCCGTCAGCTTCTCCAGAGGAAAGGGGTCACCACAGGGGTCTCGGGGCAGGCTCGCTGCTGGAACGTACGTCTTCTTGAGTGTCGTCTGGAGCCGGTCGTATTCACACACCCCCGGCGGCTCGCTGCCCGTGCTGGGGCACGCTCCCAGGAGCAGCCCGTAGATGACCTGCCGGAGGGGCAGAGCCGTGCGGTGGGCGCTGGCTCTCTGCATGTTCTCCACCTGCACGCGGAGGAAGGTGCTCCTCAGGACCAGGGCATCGCTGAGGAAAGGCGCCAGCTCCCCTCTCGCCAGGGCGTCGCG